AGAACCCTCAAACTCCTGGGCCTTTGGTAGAGGACCTGAGATTGAGGAAGACACATACCACCCACAGGGGTGAGATGGGATTTTTTTATATACACGCACCCACACACATTTTATTTGACATGTGTTTGGGATCCAGGAGGAGAGGCAGACTGGCAATGGCTAAAAGAACTACAGCGTCAGTCTTCTGTGACCATTTCTGCTGTAGCGCCATGATTGTTGTTTTTGTGCTAGATGATGACATACTGAAGAGAGATTTGAGGAGGCTGTCAGGCACTTTGCCTGTCATGCCTGCACATGTTGAGTGAGGATAACATCACTGGCAGTTACATGCAACAGAGGAAATAGAGGCAGGATATGGATCAGCAAAGGGGATAGCATGTTTCATGCTGGTATAGTTTTCTATCACCTCAAGGTTGAGTGGAGAATACTTCAACTCAGTAGTGGGAAAATGCTCATTTCACACATGACATTACAGTTGTTTTAAAAGATGACGTGGGATACATCCAGTCTGTTTGCCAGACTGACAGCAATTCTGACAGATGAAATATAAAGCTGTATCAGAAGATGCAGGTGTATTTATCATCCTTGTTATTATCGTTTAGTACTCATGTAAAGTTCAATGAGTTGGATTATAAACATTACTTCAAAATTCTATGTAATTTCCCTATAATTTACACCAGTATTGATAGGAGAAATGAAGGAAGCTATGGCTAATGGATAGGTAACCTGTGCACATGTTTCAGACAGGAACTTCTGGACATGTAGTCATTCTCTTAAGTGAACTATGCACAATATATCATTATACTTCCTCATTTAACTGGCTGCCTTGGAACACTAAAAAAAAAGATAAGCATTTGACAGGCTGTAATACATGGCTAATAAATTGCATTTGAGTTATTTCCTTCTTTTATTTATATAAATAAATGTTATGTATTTTATGTGTCTTTTATTATACATTTCGTTCACAGTACCCATGCTAGTTCACACCATATATAAAATCAATTCAATAAAGTTATGTTGCCTTTCACATGGGGTAGGAGGGTCATTTGTATTCAAAGAGTTTTTTATGATCTCTAAATTTAAAAAAGCAGCAATTATAAAAACGTATACAAAACCATTTTTCAGTGGCAAATCAATATTGTAATGTATTTCTAGACAAAGTATAAACATTTCAGTAACATGTTAATAAACATTAATAGAAAAACATTTAAAGCACATGGACATAAATAAATTAAGCTCAGAACATCTCCTTCATAACATATACAACATTATTAATTAGAAGTGGAAGTTCTCAACAATCTTTCAAGTTGGGCTTGCAAACTCATCACATAAAATTTTACTGTTTTCTGTTTTTTCTCCTTGTAACTATTTACAAGGATTCTTTACCACAATCTATATTGCCTACATTTGTAGATCCATAATGAATTATCCTTCCCTTCCCACTGTTTGAGACAAAAGATAAAGTACAATACTGATTTTGTATGTGTTTTAAGTATGTGCTGAAAAGTTCTTCCATCTCTATTATTCTGTATAGCTTTCTTTCTGTTTTCCACACTTCATAAACATTTTTAATGTTGAATGTTTTCATTATTGTAATGTTATGTTTTGTATTTAAATTATTTTTCTTTTTTGTTGAACATTATTTATGTTGTTGCAATAGCTCTTGGATGTAAGAAGTGCCGTTCAAATGGATTTAATTAATTATTTAATACAATTCAGTTAAAATACAATACAACCAAAATGAAATCATGAAAAATTATTTTTCTGGTATTGAAAGTTGGAGATGAAAATAGGTTAGGAAACTGACTGTTAAGACAAGGTGGGCTGTGAGGAACACTGATATTCTATAACTAGATATTATCTTTTCGTATGTAGTCTTTGCTGCAAAGTCCATGCTTAAAAATGCCTTTTCTTGAGTTGCTCTGACAGACTAGATCCAGGCAATATGACTGCAGCTTACACTCCCTGTTTGAAGGGACCAAAATTTGAATGAGGTAATGAAATCACATAGGGCTACTATATGCAATTTTCCATCATGACATTTACCATTCAAATCCCTGAAAGAATCTTACCACGTCCTGGTCAAATCCTATGATGTCTCACTTGCTTCAGTACTCAATAAATAATACATATAGATCCCATTTTGATGTATTAAATCTTATCTTTATACCACTTGTATGTGACGCTAAATATTGTTTCTACCAAGTAGGTTCTATTAAAAACAAACACCTAAGTCTAACCAGAAAGCTAGCTTCTGACTCTGCTTTCATGAATGATTGATATTTTAGTAGAGAAACTATCTCTATGTTGGCTGAATAATGTTTGACAGTTATTCTTCTTGCTGCTTACTACATATGGGGTATTTGTGTTTTTCTTTTCAGTAACATTTCTTATGAAAATACTCCCTCAGCTAGTTACATGCGGAATGTCCTTGTCCTGACTCTGGCACCAACAAACTACAGCGCAGTTTTAAATCATAATGGGACTCTCATGGATCCTGAAAAGGTAACTATTTTATTTGCATTCTGGATACAAGAGCTTTTTTCACTTATTTCAAGGGCTTAATGGAAAAACTACATCTAACAGCTGCAGTCCAGTTGTTTTGAACATTGCTAGTGCTGTTGATTCTGTTCTTCACTTTCCACTTTTTTCCTGCAACCTTCTCTGCCAGTTGCTATCCAATTCTGTACAAGTTCTAAAATTACCCACTTTGTCCAATATTTAGCATGTTGTACAAGATTATACTCACATAATCCAAGCTAGCTGTTTTGTAAAAGAAGTATATTTCAGCTTGTAATTTATATAACCTTGTGATTTGTATAACTCACCCCTTTTGTGAGCCTGTAGATACTGATCCATATAATTTTCTGGAAGAGGGTAGGGCATATTAGGGAGCCTTATTAATCTGTTTAAGTAGTCCATTTACTTGGGATTGTTTTTTTCAAATGAGCCCAAGTGGGGAGAAGGGAGGTATCAAGAGCCACTTGTAACTTCTCCTTAACTTCTCTGCATAACAAAGGGTACCATTCTAAGTGTTATGTCCGGTAGATAGGTCTTGTCCAGCTGAACACGGTTGTTCATGGATCTTTGAATTCAATTTCTAGAATCTCCACAGGTTCACTCAAGAACAGAACTATCTGGCCTACATTCGTGATATCTAAGCAGATAAGTCAGTTGAAGCCAGTGTGATTAAACTTCAATGCTGATGGCTCAGAGACAGAGAAAAACCAACAACAGCCCTTTGATACTGATAAGCTCTTACTTAGTATGATCCTCTTCCAAACCAGTTATTAGGCTTGTTTTATCTCCAGAACTGTCTCAAGCCATCTTTGCCCTCTCCCCTCTCCCTTTTGTGTCTGTTAAATAAAATTATTATTTTAAAATGCAAACTACTGTTGGAAGAAAATCTTACCAAGTTCGTTTCTGAGCTAGGAATAAAAATGTGCAGGCAGTTGCTTGAAACAGAGATGAAGTTTATTTCTGAGAGCAAACACACAGAGTCAGCTGTTGGGGCAACCATGGTGCACCTTTTCCTTTGAACTCTTTATATAGAGAAACTTTGCTATTGTTCTTTGAAAGCATGCAAAAGCTGCCCTTCAGGAATTCTGAGAAAATGCACTTAGCTGGCGTTCTAAGGAGGAGCCCTCTGTAGTTAGGCACCCCGCTGAGCTGTGGTTTTCTGCTTCTTTAGAATTTGTAGAATGAGATAGTAATTTCCTAGGTGGAAATGATCCCTCCTTATTTAATCAAAGAGATTTCCTGTTAAACCTCAGCTAGGAAGGAATGCTATTAGTTTGGCGACTCTCACTGCATTTTAATCTATGTATTTAGCCCATTTTAACTGTAGTTTCTCACCTTTTGCTTTGATCACAGCAGGAAGACTGCATGGCGGGGAGGGGGGTTTCCTTCTCACACTACCTTCAGTCCATTGAGAGACAGTAGGCTATGTGTATGTACGTATGTATGTAGCTATGTATATATGTATGGGTGGGTGGATGGATGGATGGGTAGATTTTTAGGGTAACAGCTGGTTAAAAGGAATAAATGAAATGGTGAAAAGCAAGTCAGCCTTTGATATTTGAACTGTGGAGACAATACAAAATTACATAAATTGTTAAAGAAGCTGAAGGCTTTGGATTATCTGGTATCTCTTCAAAATATTTGCCACTAAATATTTTGAAACAGGACCCACTTGCAAGTGTACTTAGCCTTCTGGGACTCAGCTGTAAATGTATCACATCTTGAGTCACAGACCGTAAGTTCTTCACCCTTAGGCATGAAGCCAGCTGGGCGACTCTGAGCCAATCATTCCCTCTCAGCCCTAGGAAGGAGGCAAGGGCAAACCACTTCTGAAAATCTTGCCAGGAAAACTGCAGGGACTTGTTCAGGCAGTCGCCAGGAGTCAATATTGACTCAAAGGCACAAAAAACCAAACAGACAGACAAAAAGAATGCTGAACATGTATGTATTTGTGTAGAATTCTGAATAAAACTTAGAGGAAAAAAACAAGCAAAAGTGTCTCTAAAAAAAGCTGTACCAAAACAATGACTAAGTTGCTGTCCTAACAATATGGAGAAAATCACATCCTGAAATGAACAAAAATATACCATATCCTACTTTTCACCCAAGACTGTGTTGGGATCTAACTCTCATTTTACTGCTTCTTCTAGCTGAAAAATGACATCATTGTGGGATACTTGGATGCTGTCTTACTCTTTGGACATGCTTTGAAAGACCTTAAGTCCAGACAAGAATCAATTTGTTCTATTGACTTCCTCAGCCATTTCCGGAATGTCACTTTTCAAGGTAACCACATGTCTGGTTTCTTTTAGTTTATTATGGATGGCTTATGCAAGCCTCTTCAAACTGGCACCTTCCAAAAGTTTTGAGGCTGCAGCTCCTAGGATTCTTGGTTAACTTTCTGAGAGTTGTAATCCCTAAATATTTAGAGAGGGGCAAATTGGTAGCATGTACTATAAAATCTAGTACCAAAAATAGAGTTTATGAAGATGTTTCCTAAAATTACCTTACAAATAATGGGGACCAAACATCTTAACAATACAAGTTGAAAGAAACGCTTTTTCAAAAAGAAGGTATTCTAATTTGATTATAATTTACTATTAGTAAATTAATAGGCCGCTCTTTGGCCAAAACTCTCAGGCTGTTATGATTTTTTTCCTCTCAGGTATTCTAGGTCCTCAAACTTTGGATGGATATGGAGATATTGATGTCAATTTCAGTATGTTCTACACATCAGTGGATAACTTTGAAGTGAGTACAATCTTATCATGAAACTATACCTTTAGTAAGAATTAATCAACCACCACCAAGGAGGCATTCCTGACTAGACCTTAAATCACTGGGAGAAGATAGCCCTGCAGGTGTCCAGGTCCTAAACCATGTAACCAGCAACTTGAATTATACCTGGAAGCCAGCCATCAGCCAATGCAGCTTTCGCAGTATCGGTGTTACTGGGTAGTCTTTTGGGTGGTCTTCAAGGGCAGCCCCATGTACAGTGGATTGCAGTGCTTCTTTAATCTTTAGCACTTTAAATACTCCTTAAGTATCTAATTTGGGGGGGGGGGAATTACATAGTTCATTTTGATTTCCATGTCACATGCACTGCAAGAAACCTATATTAATTACTATTTTCATTTTAATCTGAACAAAAACATCAGACATTGCATCAAGATAATCACATTAACTGGCAGAAGGATTTCAAGCAGGATTTTCACCCATTGTACCTGGAGATGCCAGGGACTAAATCTGCAGCCTTCTGCATAGAAAGCACGTGCTCTATTACTGAGCCACAGTCATCCAGACAGGCCCAAATAACAACAATCCTACTCTTGTTTTGGAACAAAGCAGAATACTGTATTAAACCATAGCTTAAAATTGATATTCTCTTTAGGTTAACTTGAAGCTGGTCAACATTGTTGCCTGATTCAAATGAAATGGGAAATGATGGTTAATTAGAGCTTTCCTTTTTCTGTTGTTGTTGTCCCTTTGAATCAGTGTTGACTCCTAACAACTGCCTGGACAAGTCCCTGCAGTTTTCTTGGCAACATTTGTGGTTTGCCCTTGCCTCTTTCCTAAGAGTTTTCCTGGTTTACTGCAATTCAGGCGAAAGGGAATGCAAAGGGGCTTGGTGCATAAGCAAAAGACTCCTCTATACCTTGACTTAATAAGCTACACAGGAGCTCAATATGAGATATGTGGGATACAGAAAGGGGAAGTGAAAAGACCAAAGAAAGTGACTGAGGAAATTAGTTTTAACTTTATTGAAAATCACTAATAATCTAGAGTTGCTTTTTGTGAAATGGGTGGCCATATAAATGTGATAAATAAATAAATAAATAAATAAATAAATAAATAAATAAATAAATAAAATTTAGGGGAAAGGAGCATTAGTGTGAAACCTCCCTCCATTTTCTCTTTCCAGTTTAAAACCCTCCTGTGGTTTGACACACACCTGAATGAAACAGTTGTGAAGACAAAGAAGCCATTATTCACCTGGAAAAAATACAAGTTGCCTAATGATATCCCTAACAGTGGTGAGCCAATCTACTTCTTGAGAAGGAAATCTGCAGATGGAATCAGTCATTTGCACGTTGCAATAACTCATAACATGTGTGTTGCGAGGGGGTGTATCTGCCTGAGCCATTTCTGAATGCTCTTTTCTTGCTCTGGACTGAAAAATTGTTTCAGCCCTTTTTGCCTAGGTAACAATTCCTGCATACAGGTTGTCCTCATTTAGTGACTGCCTCATTTAGCAACCATTTGCAGTTATGATGGTGGACCATCTAATTCATTCATTCATGGTGGCTGGGGAATTCTGGGAGATGAAGTTCACATCTCTTAAAGTTGCTAAGGTTGAGAAATACTGTTCTAACCAGTTACAGAGGTGTAAAACAAGAATAACTAAAAAGGAACAAATCAGGAATTGATCAAACAAGACATAATTACTTTGCTGATCTGCCAAATTGCCTCTGGCTTGTTCAACAAACCACAGTTAAAAACAAACTAGGGCTTGCTGTTCTTTGTGAACAAAGTCAATGAGATGTGCGTCAATAGGGTAGATAATAAAATGACTTGGATATATAGGTGTATCTTCATAAAATATGCCTTTTTTCTGTTTTGAATGCCACCTCAGTTCCAAAGCAATTTATAATTAATCAAATGTAAATATAAAAAGCAAATACAGAACATCATACAGGATTTAGCATACCCACACAACCACAGAATATTTTCAGACATTGTTATGATTTATTTGATTTAACCTATAAGATTCTTAGTGTCCCCTTTCTCCATGATCAAGAACTCACTGCAACTGGCTTATTCGTGGATGGAGAAATGATTTTCCTATTTTCACCAATCTTTTCTTTATCCGCCCAGGCTGAGGAAAACCCTGCTTATTGAATAAAGAGTTGTTGCTATGGAAACACTGTGGTTGCCCTTGAGAAATAAGTTTGAAAGGTTAGGATGGTCGCATGACCAAATATTATCCACTATATGAGACCTAGGAAGAGTATTTTGTTCTGAAAATTAATTTTCAGATGTTCAAAGTACTGAAAACCACACAAATAATCTCTTTGATAACAAATGGTTCTGCATCTCTCACTGTGTTCATTTTATAGCTTTTCAAACTTGGTACTGATATTGTGAGACCATCCTTTCCTATAGTGTACCTATTTGTCTGTTTTGCCCCAATTTCTAGTCAAAGCCATTCCAGAATTTTGTAGTGTATAAAATAGTATTCTTAAAAGCTAGAATACTTCTGCCATTTTGTGAATAGGTAAGCTATCCCACTGCCATTTGGCCCACAGTCTGCTCTCAAAATTGCAAATGTGCCCCCAACTGGAAAAGATTTTGGACCTTTGCCAAAACCAGTGATGCTGCAGCACAACAATTGATCATTTTTTGTATGCTACCATGGAATAACACCCATGGCTGGTAAAACACCTTCACTTCTTAGCAAAATTGCTTGCTAAAAGAGATGAGGAGTGATATTATTTACTAGTGTTAGAAGAAAAGTGACTCTACCCTGCTCAGTGAATTTTCCAAGGAAGGTAAGGAATGAATGTGCAGAGTTTATAAAAGTTTATTGTAGCCTTCCTTATCTTCCTAAAGCAGGAGGCTACAGTATCCTAGAAAGACTATCAAAAGTAGGTGTCCCAGAGGGAATGGTATAAGCACACATGCTTTGATCCAAATTCCGCCCCCCCCCCCAAATGTCAGCAGTAGGAGTAACCGATAGCTGAATGGCAGTACCAGCTTAGTCTTCACCAAATTACAATTCTCCAGATGTGTTGGGGCTCACACATCTACAGGGCATCAGATTATTAAAAGCCTTAACATGCAGGACTCAATGAGCAGAAAGCTATATATCTGGCTGAAAAAGTTATCAAGATCATATCAAGGTGGGCGCAAATTTCCCAAATGTTTGTTTAATCATGTACGCTATGATTTCCATTTGCTGTGGAAAGGTCCTCTCATTTCCCATATCAGCTTTTATTACTAGCATTATAAATGTGACAGAGCTTCAGTATTTAATATACCCTTTCAGGGAAAAAAATACGATACATCAATAAATGCCAAGATTCTGATTACTACGGGCCATTTCAGATGCATGTAATATGTTCCTCATTGCCTTATGTAATTCATTTCCTCATTTTACCAGAAATGCACAAAAGTAATGTTATTATAATGCCTGCTATTAAATATTCTAATTACATCTTAAATTGGGAAGAAAGAAAATCAGCTGGGAAGGGACCCAGATTTTTCCCATTGGAATAGTTTTAGCCACTAGGAGGCAGCAGCACATCAGAAATATATGGCCTTGCTATTCTAAATTCCAAACGTTAGTTTGCAATTTTATTTAAAATGTGCTTGGAGGTATTTAGCCTCCTGTCATTCAACTTAGAGCGCAGGGCAGCCAAGTATCTTGTAACTTGCCAAGTCCACGTGCTTGCTAAGTGCTCTATTTATTGGTGACCTAACATCCTGCTTTCCTGATAGGAACAGCCAGCCCAGATGTTCCGACAAGGATGTCCTTGTTGCCACAGAATTAAAAAGAAAATAAGGCTGACCCTTAGCTGAAAAGGTAGATGCAGTGAATAGGTGTATGCAAAGCAAAATAAGTGAATGTCCAAAGTTATCATGGTAGTAGTAAATGCAAGAACTCCCCAAAGAATTTAGCATAGTACCATTAGGATTATAATGTCAACAGCGATCCATTCCTTTCCTCTTTCTCAAAATAAGTAGAATAAGTAACTTTTACATTCACTTTGTTTTTGTGTCATGATCTCAGGTGTATCTGCATAACTGGAGGTATAGAATAATTTTAAAGAGGATACCATAATTCTAGACATATTGCTGAAGAAGAAATCCTGTTGAGTACAAGTGGATAGTGATGATAGTTTAAGGCTGCAGCCTATAAAACAAAGCTGGAAATAAGTCAGTGAATCTTACTTACGAGTAAGCATGCAGATTCCTACTACTGTACATAATTATCACTAATATTGGATATTTACATCCTATAACTCACAATGTGATTAAAAACAGAGGCAACAATAAGCAAACTGGTATGCTTGTCATTTTATCCATTCAGGCTGCTTTTTTAAAAAATTGGCCCACAGTGTTTAGAAAAAAATATTTTAGAAGTGACTAATTTTAAAATCTATATTGTATATATAAGGTGACTGTTGGCAGACAAAATGGAGTTAAAACCATTTTTAAAACACCAAAACCAACAGAAACAAAAACAGTGTGTGTCCAAGGCCAGCCTCATTCTTTGCGATCTTCCAGTCCACTCTAAGACTGAGCCTGTACAATGCACTGAGATAAAAGCAAAGAAAATACATTTTGCTTTGAAGTGTTGTTTGAATCCGGTCAATTGTAGTTTATTAAACAAACCATGGTCAAAACAAGACTGACATAATATCATGTGAAAAATCAGCCTAGCAGTTATTTAGACTAGACAGTAGGGCCAAACTAAACCAAACAATTTAAGACAGAATATGCACCTGGCTACAAATCCAGGAGTACCGTTAGGCCAAACTCTTTTTCTGACAAAGTGTCAGTTGTTACTCAGCTTGAGTGTTTTCTTCCTAAATCTCTGATAATGAGAAATTGATGCTAACATCTTGGAGGGATGGATTCATTGCAGTATCTTCAAAATAGTGGCTCCAAAATGGCTGTTGTGTAAAACTTACTATTTTGTTGTGCACACTGTGTACAGTACTACAAGTTTATTTTACTTTGGTCCATCTTTTAAAATTCTTCTTAAGGATCTCAGATTACCCATTCCTCCTTTTGTAGGTCCCCCCATCCTGACTATAGCTGTTTTCACACTTACTGCAACGGTGGTGCTAGTTCTGATCATTGCTTTGCTGGTGCTGAGGTATGATTGTTTACGTTGTCCTTCTTGGGCTAAAAATAGGGGATTTGTAGTTCAACACATCTGGATGACCCCAGACTAGGAAGGCTGGCATAGGCCCACAAATACCTTCAGAAATGTGTATCATTCAAGTCTTCCTTCTGCAAAAAATACTCAGCACAAATATCTTAGACTACATAAACCCCATCACTCTTTTTTTGGATAAGATTCAAATTTACAATTGTTACTCCTTTTTTATTATTTTTACTGTTCTAATATATAGTAAAAAGAAGAAAACAAACAAAGGAAAAATACAATAAAATCCTAATCCAACATAAAGCAAAAAAAATAAAGAGTCAAAATAACAAAAAATATTAATTCTTTTTAATTGCAATTAATATGTAACCATGACTCAGTTTTTAAATAACTAATTAAAACTTGCCCCACAGAATTATATCAACCAGTTTTTTGGTTTGTTTGATAAAGGGCTCAAAGGCTGAGAATTAATACATTTCTTCAATCCAGAATTTTAAGTCCAGAATATTTTTTCCCAACCACACAAAATTATGTTTCTAGCTACTCTCAAACCTCAAAAGTCCAAAGTTCTTCTTCAGTCAATAAATCTTGGTATGTATGTATTAATGTGTTAAAAATGTTGACACATCTTTATCTTCCTAAAATTCCAGATTCTAAACCTTTAAGAATTGCTTCTATAATTCTTTTAAATTTTCAGGAAGTACAGAAGAGCCAATGAACTCCGGCAAAAGAGATGGTCCCATATTCCTCCTGAGAAGATACTGCCGTTGAATACCAATGAGACAAGTCATGTTAGTCTGAAGGTAGGAGGTGACAGCCATGTCTGGTAAAAATTTTCCACCACAGAATATGAAGCAAGGTGTACATCCCTCACAGTGGTACATTAGATAATGCCACTCTGATATTATAAGCTCTTCTGCGCTACAGTAAGGCTAATTGCTCAGTTTATTGTATGTCCATTAACTGTTTTCTCATGACTGTATGAAGCACATAGACATTTCCCCCCTTTTCTACTAGACTTTGTACCATGTGATAGAACCAGTAAAGTTTATTCGTTTATAGAAGACTAGTGGGCAGTTTTACCATTCTTCCCCTCACCTGCAGTTTCATCCCAGCTCCCGAGTATCTCCAGTCAATAAGTCTTGCAAGGGCAGCAGGTGGCTACAGCACCTAAAAGGATCCCATGCGTATGCAAATGTTGTCAGCATGGGCAAGTGGCAGCTACTACAGACTGGAGGGAAAGAGGTGTGCCTGCAACAACTTAGACTATCCAGTAGGAGTAAAAACATTGCTTCTAGTGAAATGAAATGTTGCAGTTAGAGCTCATGCACCTCATGGCCAGTGTGTCACCTCTTCTGAGATGAACAAGAACAGACAGGCTGTCTTTGCAGAAGGCTGAATTGAGGATGGCATCATACATTCATGGCCTCAACGAAAGGTTAGTGGGGATCTTCACACTGGAAAGGCAAGATGTGCAGATGAACTCTTAATTGGAGCTTCACCTGAAATTGGGACCTAATACTATTCCCCCCTCCCCCACTGTCCATTACTGGTTTCAGATTTTTTAGGAATTATGTAGAGTGCCAGGGAGAGTGAGTTTCAAAACTGTAATACTATTAACTTTATCTGTGGGACAGAAAAATATCTACTAGCTCCCTGTGCTTTACACAACAGTGTTCCACTTAGGAATTAGACTAGCAATTGATATGATATTGATTTTATATTGGCATTAAATATTGTCATCTCCGTTCTCCTACAAAAACAAAATGAACACCTTGAGAGAAGAATGAGAAATAAATGAGACACAAGTCTGCATTTATTATTTGATATCAGTTGATGCGCAAAAGGTCTCAATAGTATTCATGTTGCGGAAAGTATTTTTGAATCTGTTCCCCTGACAAACTGAAAGCACATGGGTATTGCATTTTGGTTCCTAGTGTACATTAGGAAAGGGACCTTACTGAAGCTTTCTAAATGAGCCCTCTTGTTTCCCAGATTGATGAAGACAAAAGGCGGGACACTGCTCAAAGGTTGCGTCAAGGCAAATATGATAAGAAGGTATATTTATTGCCACCTTATCTGTTTTACTTACCTACACTAGAAATGATCTGATGCTCTTGTGCAAGACAGATTTCATGGTGCCAGGATGCCATTCATATTCCCAATTTGTTGCAAAGATTAATACATTCAGAATGTAGGGAATTTTTTCATCTCCAGCTTCTTCCTTTGCAACATCTCAGTCCTGAATAATGAACAAAGTGGACTGCAGGTTTAACACTTTTAAAAAGTCATTTCCCTGTTACTGAATGGTGTAAATATCAATTTGTCTATAAAATATGATGTATTTGCTATTTAGTGATACATTATTGTGATAAATTATTACAGTGGACATTGTAGATATTAGTGATATTGTGATAGATTATTGTGACTCTCCTATCATTTCCTTCCAATTGCTCTCATTTCTAGGTGATAATCCTGAAGGATTTCAAACACAATGATGGAAATTTTACAGAGAAACAGAAAATAGCTCTGAATAAGGTAAGCAATACAAGTAGTGACTGATCTACATGGAGAAATAGTATTCCCCAGCTAGTGCCCTCTAGATATATTGGATCAGAACTCTCCCATTTTCTCTAACAAGCAAGGATGGTAAGGATTTTAATCCAGCAACTCCAGAAAGGCACCTGATTGGGGAATGCTGGAGTACAACTTTTTTCATGTATTTTTCCCTGTTTGATCATTATATTACTTATTTTAATCCTTTAAACCTCTACCCTATGCCAAATCTATTTATAGGCATTTATGAGTTAGCTCAGTTTCAGAAATTGTATTATGTCATTTTGTAGTCATTGTTCTACACACAATTTTTAAAAAAAGCTTAAATGGGAAGCTGGCTTATTGAAAAGCATTATTCTCCTTCTTTATTTCCAAGAATATTTCTGAATCCTAAATAGATCCTGTAGGCATTCCAAGAAAATGGGGAATGTGTTAACTACTGTTCAGTATTTTGCTAAGAAATGCACACCTGGCCAGAAACAAGAAAAAGTTAATCTAAGATAAGGAGCATCCTGGGAGGGAATGGTGGACAGCAATTTTAATTTCCCTTCCAGTAAACAGGTATTATTTTGTTACTGGCCATGCCCCCCCCACAACATGGCAGACATTTTTTGAGAGCACCCACAACATAAACTTAATATTCTAAGTATGCTTACTAGCCCCCAAAATTATATATCTTGCTGTACATTTTCTGCAAATAGTTTGAATCACCTTAGAATTGGAAAACAAGAAGATTCAACACAGAGTACCCAGTATTTCCATGTCACAGGAATGCCTGAGAGATTCTGTCCTCTTTCTTAGTATTGTATCTAACTTGAAATGTAACTGTTATGCTTCTAATAAATGCAATTTTTTGCTCCAGCTTCTTCAGATTGATTATTACAACCTGACTAAATTCTATGGGACAGTCAAGATGGACACAATGATCTATGGAGTAATTGAGTACTGTGAAAGGGGATCATTGCGGGTAAACAGATTTATAGCTCACTGGTTGGTTTGTATCAAGACACATTAACCTTCATCTTAAAGACAAATTCTAGTAGGGGTCAAGTGGGACACTACAGAAGAATGGTAGTCTGTTTATAACCCATTTAATTTGGTTGTTGTTGTTGATGTTTAAATGCTAATGAAATGGCTGTGCTGTCCTATAGGCTCCCCATGTTCCACTTGGTCATGTTACCATAGAGACACAAAGAAAGAAGGGAGAAAAACAAAAGGATTTATAAAACAGAAGAGTATATAATGGTGGTTGCAAGAGAAATAGCTCCTTTAGAAATCTCCTAGGATTAATGGGATGTTGCTTTAATTTTGAAGAACAAGAAGGTAATAAGAAAAGGGCACCCACAACACAGAAGATGCACAGTGCATCAAGGAAGATGACATTGATTGGTACTTTCAATTCAGTAGCAAAACTGATAGCTCCAGTGGGCAGTTATCTCTCTGTAACCAATTACATACCATTTTATTTATTTTAATCTGATATTAAGAACTAGATTGTGTGATATTTTGGGGGTCATTAGGAGAAACCAAAAGGGCTCATTCCTTCATGTTAGGTAGTAGAGAATATTATAGATAGAAGCTGAGCTTTTAAATCACAAAGCACACTACTCTATAGTATTCAGTTTAAGATAAAGGTTCAGGTGTTTTCCAGCCCTCTTAGACAAAAGCCACTAAGGGAAAAGCTAGCTTGATCTTCTCCATCCTGGCGCCCTCCAGGTGTGTTAGGACTATAGCTCCCAGAATTTCCAGCTGGAATGAACTTAACCATACTGTGAAAAGCAATAATGTATACTAGTGTTTTAAGTATTTTGTGATATTCCTTCTCCCCATCTCAGAGATACCTAAGTCAATCTGTCAGGTTACTGGTGGCAGGTACTAGGGGCTTAAAGGGTTAGAAAGGGTTGGTTTTATTCTTCTGTTGAATTATTTAACAGCAAATAGCCATTTAGAAAGGACACAAACATGAAGTAGGAGAACTAGCATTGTTTTGTTGCCCACAATATTCAGTCCATTGTGATCAAAGTAACATCAGGAAAAAAAGAAATTTGCCATCTCAACACTAAAGTTGAGCTGGGAATAAAATGGGGTTCTCCCAACAGTTGTTTTTCTTCAAGGAAATAGCCTCTTTATTCCACTGCCCTGAATTGCTTAATAAGTGTGCATTATTTTGTGTCATTTTTATTGAACTGAATGAAAATATTGTTTGACTGTTGGGTACTCTTGCATTTTTTTCAGGATTAAGATGGTTTTATATTCTTACCAGCAGTTCTTTGTCTTCTTTTCATCTCAGGATGTCTTAAATGATAAAATTTCCTACCCTGATGGAACCTTCATGGACTGGGAATTTAAAATTTCTGTCATGTATGACATTGCTAAGGTAAGTATATGAGGATAGTTTTACATTATTAAATTAAGCAATTGAATATCTATTTAAGATTGGAGCTTCATATATTGTCCTAAACTATATGGAATCAGGTTGTGCAAGTTTCTTTCCAGCTCTTTCATAAGAAACAGGAAATATGAAATCACAGATTTGTTGAGGGCTGAGCCACTATAAGCTTGGTACATTTCAGTATGGAAAAAATAAAACTCTCTAACTGATAGAAAGATCCTTAGAGAATGAGGATGTGGTTACAAATATTTTTAGAAAGTTAAAGCCATAAACTAGAAAAAGGTATGAAAAAAATCACCCTAAACTCACATTAAATAGGCTTCACTCTGTATCCATTATGCTGAGCACTAGAAACAATATTTTTATTTTTAAAAAATCATGAAGATCATAGTTTCTTACTTAGACTTTTTCCAGTAGTCTTTCTGTGTATTCATTTTCTAGGTATGCTTTTTTTTATTTTCAGTAGATAGATTTAGTTCTCAGCGGGGTGGTAAATCAGTGAAAGCTTGCATGTTAAGCAGAGGTTAAACCCATAACTCTTCTCCCTGAAATTTGTTGGACCAAATAGCTTTGCATAGCTGAAAGAATATATGCAAAGAGAAACAATAAAGTTAGAATTATGTTTGGTTGATCCTTTGACCAAACGTCTCTAGGTTCTTCTTGCAAAGACTTTTGAGGGAAGGGGGAAAGTTGCATTGAAGATCCTATGTTGTTGACAGGTGAATACACCTACACTTTACAGTTCTGGCAATTTTCTGGGCAGTTCAATTTTCCCTTTGCAAAGGGATCAGTACTGCAGCTTTTTATTAACATTTTGGCAGTGGGAGTGGTAGAGAGGATGAGCTACAATGTTAGGATGGGGGTGGTGATGGTGGCAGAAGAACTGGGGAGTCAACAGCCCCTTTGTTAGCTGCCTATAGAAAGAGAGGGAGAGGGCAAATAAGAGCCTGCAAGAGCAAGAAACTATGACAAAGTAGGAGAGCAAAAGGCAAGTATGCAGATGAGCAAGAATGTATGTGCAAGAGAGACTTGGAGAGACTAGGCTGAACTTCCTGCATGTGAACATGGCAAAAGAAGAGGAGAGGGAGAGAGATGCTATCTGTTGCCTACTTGACTAAACCATCCCCAGGTGTCCATTGTGACTTATGGAATCCTTGTACATCCTCAGATCAGGACTTTCAATAACAAAAAGCAACACTATGGGGAGGATTTTAAAAATGAAGATGGTAGCCAGACAGAATGAAGCCCCCTTTCCCAGATCTTGGGTTCCAAAAGCCAGATGAGATCTTCACTTTCACTTTTTCATATTACATCACATTATTGCCTCCTCCACCAGTTCCAGCCCCAACCTGTGTTATGGGCCTCTGTTTTTCTATCAGATGGTGACCTGTGTTAGGAATGGGAACAAAGCCAAAAGCTCCACAATCACTTTCCTTAAGTTCTCCCAGAGTACATCTGTACTACTCTTTGGTCTTGTTTGTGTGTGTGCGCGCACACCTTCCAGTCAGTTTTTGACTCCTGGGGACTGCTTGGACAAGTCCCTGCAGTTTTCTTCACAAGGTTTTTTGGAAGTGGCTTGCCATTGCCTGCTTCCCGGTCCAAGAAAGAATGAGTGACTGGCTCAAGGTCACACAGCTAGCTTCTTGCCTAAGGCATGACTAGAACTCACAGTCTCCTGGTTTCTAGCCTGGTGCCTTAACCACCACACCAAACTGGCTGTTGTTACTGCAGCAGTAACCTCAGCAATGAAGGCCACCTCGAAGAAAGGAGGAAAACACCTTAACACAGCTATGAGGAAGAGCCCAATGAGGCAGATCATCCAACCTGTGTCTGGATAGGAGGCAAAGATGAAGCCAGAAAAAGGTCTGCGTTTCTATTCAGACCATCTTAAGTTCAGTTTCTTCCAGTAGGGACGATCTTCAGCAAAACCTGTCAACAACTTGGTTGTCCCACACATTTGTTGGAATCAGAAAAAAATCTCATCTGATACCAACATGATAAGCACAAAGAAGTTCCTCCCTCATTCTTCATTTCCCCCACATATGCCTGCTGTTAAACTGGTTTTCTTGTGGAACAGAGGCTTTTGTGATCCAAATTGCACTCCAACCAATGCTAGTCACACTTCTGCATTACAAATGGCCTTTCCCCACCTGCACCTAATCACTGTGCAAACATGCCCTGGCAAGATCTTTTTTCTGTCATGTCCCTGTGATATTGCTTTCATCTTGTTCACACTCTGAGGAGAGACAGCTTTAAGCAGTCCTTAGCTATGTTAAGAGAATATATCCTCCTTATTCTAATATCCACTCACAAAGTATATAAAATCTGTTGGGCTTTGCCACCCATTACCTTGGAAGGAAGTCAGGTGAATGCAGTGATTTGAAACAGAAGCAACAGAGGCAGGATAAGGATTGGCAATGAAGAAACAAAATGACATGCAGGTAATAACATTTCTGCTGACTCAAGGATGGGTGGATAGCACTTCCTTTCAGCAGTGTGGAAAGAATCAGAAATTTCATCTGATTTAAAGTGATTTAAAATTTCTGTATGGAAACTGAGGCAGTACCTTCTCCCAGTCCAGCACAAAATATAAATAGAAGTAAATTGTTTGATTATTTTATTGTTTGCCTTTCAGCTGATGAGAGAGAGAGAGAGAGAGAGGGAGGGAGGGAGGGAGTGCTTAGAGCCCTTAATATGTAATTCAGAAAACAGAATTCTCACAATCCAGCTCCCCTCTCAATGTCAGTATGGGTGGGTGGAGGGTATAATTCATGCTATTTAGTCTTCTCCGCCAGAAAAAAAAGGGCGTGTTAAGAAAACAAGTGTAAGTGTAAGTCAAAGTATCAGGTCCCAGTTTTAATTCCCATTTAGATATACAATGTATTTGGCTTGTTATTTCTCTGTTCATATGAATACAGAAACATTCTTCTTTCACCTTCCTTAACCAAAGGGTTTTTTGATGGCAGAAGGAGTTCACAACTTCTTCGCTTCCTTTTTTTATGGGCAGCGAGCAGGTGGAGAACTAAATAAGACTGACAGGCAGCTGACTCTGTAGAATGGTTGGTTGGTTTCTCCTGTAGAATATCTTGTAAGGCATCTGCTAGCTTATACTTTTGTTCATCCTGATTGGGCAGGGATTTAAAAATTAAAATATTTATTTAAAACATTATTAACCTGCTTTTCATCCAAAATACTGTCTTGTCCACATGTAGGGTATAACCATTGTAACAGTGTTTTCCTCCAGAGTGTGAGTTGGCAGAGAAGCAGGCTGGCAAAACCTGTGCTACTTTCACTGACAATCCTTCTATTTGAGTAATGAGGCTGGCAAGGGGTCCTGCCCTTACTGTTTTAATCCAGGAGAACTTATGGAAAGTGATTGGTGGCTTCCCCTGCCTTTATTTCCTCATCCACTGAGTGTTACCTGCTGCCTGGGAAAGCAACTACCAACTGCAATAGTGAAGGTGTGATGTGGCAGAGATGGGCAAATGTAGATGGCTTAGCCCACCCATCAATCTACCTAGTTTACAGGTCAAAGACCCAGAGCAGGGTCAGGATGAAGTGGGAGAGAATTATCACTGAGTTCTGTCCTTGACTAGAGCTGCAGGGGGTGGCAGTGAGCGGCTGTAACCAGCAACTATTGGGTGTAGGCAAAATGGTGCTGCCTCCCCATCCAAGTAAAAAGTATGGCCATACAACCATTGTTAGAAGCCTGTAATGCACTCATTGGTGAGACAACTGGCAACAAATAATTGCCAAATCCAGTCCTCTTTCCCAATTTAAACTGATGTCTATAGTCCAGGACTAGTGCTATTTCAGAAGAGCTCTAAACCCATATACCTCTAAACCCATTTGCCATACCTGCCAGCTTGCGTGGGGCAATAAGAGTTTTAATCAATCCTGATGTGGCTGGCAGCCTGATGATGCTCCCTGAGCTACTTGCCAATTACCATCAATTCTTGGAATTTATGTATTATTTATTTAAGAATACTTTTATATTGTATTTTTAATTAATTTTATCTTCTCTGTGCACCGCCCAGAGTCACTTTTTAATGAAACAAGCAGTGACAAATTTAAATATAAATAAATATAAATATAAATAGACCTCAAGTGGGTCAGGACAAGTGCTTCAGAAAGCAGAGGCCAGGCATTACATGGGGAGGTGCTTCTGTAATAGCCAGCTCTCCAGCAGCCCAAACCAAAGGGACAAATCCCTGACTGTGTCATCAACCATATCACCCTGGAAGCATGTGAGATTGTGTCCATGGCAACAATTCCATCAGGAGAAAACAGGAAAGCACTGCTTTAAAACTGGAACACCTAGAGACAATTTTATGCTGAAGATGAGGCAAAGGCAAAGTCATGAGGATGTGGCATAAAAACAGTTAACAGGGCATGTTCATGCTGTAGTTACAAGGACATGAGGGTGAACTCTTAGAATCTAAAGATATGCCACAGAAAGAAAACGATTAGGAGACTAAATATATAAATAAATCAGTGTGATGGAATGGAATTATGAAGGCCAGGCTCAGGGAGATAAACATTTTCTTAGCTCG